CCCCTGCCCCCACCGCCAAGCCAGGTGCGAGCTGAGCCCGCAGCCCCCACCAGCGGGGAGCGCGCCCCATCCGGGTCCGGGTCAGGCCCTGGGAGTCCGCGCCCGGGGAGCGCAGGCAGGCCCGGGCCTCTGGATGGCTCGGCGCGCGGGGACCAGAACGCGAGGCAGGGAGCCGCGAGGCCCTGGCCCCCGGTTCCGCACAGGCGACAGGACAGCCCCGCTCATTAAAGAGCCCCAGGAGTGGCTGCATCTGCGAGTAAACGAAGTTGTCCTGGCTGAATTCTGAAGAAGGGACCCAACTCAGGGACATGGGCCCAACGGCGAACGGATTTGTTCGCGGCTCACAGTTTCCCATTAGTTACAAGTTTTCAAATGGGCCCTTTCTCACATACACCGGCTGGGAAAATGATTTTTAGCAAGTATACCCTAAGCTGACGTTAATATTTTGAAAAAGAAAAGATGATATTTACTTTTCATTTTTTTAAATAAGGGCATAAAAAAGCATGTTTTGAGATATTCACAAGAAAATAAGTACTCGGCAGGCGCCCTCAGCTCCTGTTCTTTACTTCTCTGCGTTGTTCAGGCTGCTAGAACTCTTTCTGAGCGTGTGGAAGCCTTCAATGTTTTCCCTATTCATTAGATAGCTCAATGAAATGCTACAATATATTTTTGAACAAGCAGTACAATTTTTTTTGGCCTGGAGATTTTCACACATGCCCCTCTATCCAGTGGCCTCTGAATGTTAATCATGAGCAGTCCGGCCCATCCCATTGCTTCAAAGGTAAACGCTTGCGTTTGGTGTCCAGAGTTCTTCCCGGCCCTTCCCGCACTCAGGGCTCCCCCTGCTAGATAAGAGTGCATCACACGTGTGAGAACTTGTGATTAGTTCCTGCAAGCAGGTTCTGTGCTTTGCAGCTATTCTCAGGAAGGTCCTTATTGTTGCTGTTTCAATGTGGACCAAGGGATCCAAACAGCACCTCACAAAATAATCTTTCACAGTTCAGTTGATTCTGCTAAAGTTGAAAAGATGTGGTCCACCACCACCACCACCCTCCCCCAGCACCGTCGCACAGCTGGAAGCATCTCCTTCCTTTACAAAGCCATGTGCACAGTCTCATTGCTTTAAGTAGTCAACGTCAGTTTAAGTTCCCTGATGTATCTATATTTAATACAATATTTTAAAGCCGTTCTGACACAGTGCCACCTCAAAATGAATATTTGAAGTAGATCATTGAAATATATTTATACATCAATAAAATGTCCTCAAGCTGTCGCCGTTTCACTATTAGGTTACTATTAAAAGGCATACTCCCAATGAGGTCTTATTAAAATTCAGTAAGGAATTTTCATGTCAGAAAAGCAGGAGACCAGTTCTGAGAGCCTGTACCCATGTCTAGGTCTCTTTCACCAAAATCAGCTTGACTTCTCCATTTTATTGGCATCGGGCTTTGTTTGTTTTTCTTAAATCACAAAATCACTTCTGGATGGTATTTGTGGTCATTTACAAACAATGTCAATATCAGAGGTCAAAGTTAGCCCCATGCCTTTTTTTGTAGAAAGCTTCCATAATCCTATATGTCTATAAATATTTTTAAATCATAACCAAAATGTATACAATATTTTTAAATGTTTAAGAGAACATCAAACAACCTCTCTTACTTAAAAGCATCTGACTGTGAATTTCACCCTCACTTTTTCCGCACATGTGGTCTCCAAGTGAAAACATGGAGTTTCATGTTTTTAAGCAAGTTGGCAATCTAACTGCACCAAAAGTTTTCTAACTAGCAGTTTCATTTCCCTCCTCAGAAAGGTACTTTTCTTAATTATTGGACAATATCATGTTCCAAATTCCAAGAACTAACTTGCTTGTCCTGGAATATTGGGTAGTAGGTACATGTAACTTGACTATCAAGCAATCACCAATATTTTCCTTTCAGAGATGCTGAGGTTATCCCACCATCCTTTCCTTCTCTCTCTTTCCCAAGCAGACTTCGTGTGCACACATACACACACGCACAACACAGCTGTGTAAAATGTGGGTTTTGGCCTTGTGCCTTAGTCAAGAAGTTGAGGTGTGCCTACCCTAAATATAAAGTCCTAAACTTGGATTTGAAGATCTGAAGTCACAAGGCCTGCATGCGAGTCTAAATTGGGTCTCTTGGCCCTCTCTTATTGTTCACCAGCACCAAGTCACATTCCGCCTCCCCTCCTCCCCACCTCCCCTCCTCCCCGCCCCCAACGCTGGACCGGAGAAAAGTTTAAATCACAGAGGCTGTAGTTTTTCCATTGTCCAGTAGACGGCACAAAAGATCAAGCCTTCGAATGCCGAACAATCCTCCCAAGGCTGTTTTGTTTGGTTTGGAGTGTTGGACTATGCCGCTCATTTCAAACAGCCAGCCAGCCAGTGTTGTATCTGGGAAGCAGATACAGACCTGTCTCTCAAACGTAAGATGATTCACCAAGGCTTTAAAATGTAGTGATAGGAAAAAGGGTTTGTATTTACACAGCAAATGCTGCTTCAGATAATGCACCAACTGTTATGAGTGAAGAGTTCCCAGGGAAGTGTGACTGAGACGTTTATTTAAAAGTTACTTTTAAAGAAACTAAATTGACAGACATTACAGGGCATTTCACTTTTAATTATCTTCTAGTGGATAAAGAAAACATTTACAATAATAACCTTCAAAATTCCAAGTCGGAATTTTGCATGATGCATCTATACTTTAGATTCAAGTTAACATGTAACTCGGTCCAGACAAACATTGTATTTCCAATGAGCTTTTATTTATATATATATATATATATATATATATATATATATATATATATATATATATCTGAGAAGGGGAAGAAATCTGAAAGTTTTGTGAGTACCTTTTGAAGGATATTGGAGGATGGAGCCATCAGAAATAACTTAGTTGAAACTTCACCTCTTCTAAAACAATGTGTGACTTTGGCTAATATTTATACTTTACTAAAAGGCTTCTATTTCCCTTTTCATTTTGCAGACACTTCTTATGTAGAAGTGTGTGTGTTGGGGGGGTTAAAGTGTGGGCTAATAACTCATTTCCCAGTTAATTTTATTAAGAATTTATAGCACTGTTTAGAAAGTTTTAAGACAACCATAAATTTTATTAGGAATATTTTATTAAACCCTCCATTTAATTAATAAAAGACCTCTATAACTTCTGAAAACGTCAGACCCCGTAATTATGTTAACCAGTGTAATTTTTCCCTCTCTAGAGACCAAAGTGCTTTAATGATTTGAAATAGAAAGATAGTTAGGAAAACACCCCCACGCTTCTTTCTTAACTTTTGCAGTCAGAATACAGTGAGTTAACTATTTTCCCTCGGACAGTTGGGGAGCCTGAGCTGACCTCTCCCTGACCTCTGAACTGGACCCAGACATTCTTTGTTTTCTGAAGCAAAATGCAGTAAACAAATCTCCCAGTTCTTACAGCCCGGGTTGCTTTGGGGCACTTGATTAACGTCTTTCCTAATCCCCTAGGTTAAGCACCTTTCCTATCACCTAGCCGAGTTTCTCCCTTTTATAGACCTCTAAATAGTTTATTTCACTTTTCTCACAGCCATTCATTAGCTTTGACTTCTTGGTACCTTTCTCATATCACATCCAGGCTCTTATCTCCAGCATTCCTCTATTATCTCTACTAGATTTAAAATCTATTTTTCTTTCAACTGTCTTTCTCTACTCTTATTTCTGTTTTTTTGAAATGTAAATGCTAATGCAGCGGGGGAGATGTGGAGGATGAAAGTTCTTGAGGTACAAGTCACAAGCCTCCTCACTGCAGGACAACCGAAAGAGCAATCCCAACATTTTCACCGGGATGTAAAAGTTCCGTGGCAGATGATAAACCCTTATCATTCTGTGAACACAGCTGCCAAACTCGATTGATTAGCAGGCTTTTGTTTATTCTGGGCTGGCAAATACACACACATTTTACCTTAAGAGGTGCCTCTTTTTAATTTCTGAGGGGTTTAGAGCTGGTTCATCAGTGTAACTTTTGGGACAAAAACCTAATTCAGGACATAGGTCTTTCAAAGGCACAATTCCCCACAGAAGAACAGAAAATGAGAAGGGAACTCTCAGTTGGGACTGTAGCAACAGCCTGAAGAGGCACCACTTACTTTAAAAGCCTCCTTGCAGGAGGTGTAAACAACGGAGACATAGGCCCCAGACTGCCTCTTTAAAGTCCTCCTTCTCTATATTTGGGAAGATGCTCTGGGATATGAAGAGTGAGCGGGATACAGAAGGCCCATGTGCAAGAACCAGAGGCAAGTGCCAGAACCCTTCACCAGGCCAAGTTTTCCCAAGATAAAAGTGCTATTGCCTTAAAAAGCAACTATTTGAAATAAGCTGAGAGGTGCCGTCAAAGCACATGTATAAATATGCATAGTAGTTTACTTAGATACCTAGAAGTATGCTTTTACCTTTTCCTTTTAATAGGTGATGAATTGCTAACCCGATAAAGGAGGGTTATTTTTTCTTTTATGGCTACTAGATTGCAACTCTAGACGTGTCCTCCGTGAAGTTCCTCTGAGCGAGCCCCAACTGTAATAACTGTTTGCTAATTGTAAAATCCTTATCCAGAACGAGGCTTGGGCAAACAATTTGTACTACTGTAATTACATTGTAAAAGTGTTTTAGACTCTTGATTGTCCAGAATTAATCTCATAAAGGCGTAGGAATAGCATTAGGGTCACAGTTATAAATGGGAAAGAGGGGAGGGGTGCAGGGGAGAAGAAAAGACAGTTTTCAAAAATAGTAAGAGTTTACTTTAAGCCCACACACAAACTATTTCTTTAATGAAAATCTGTGTGTAGGTAATGTAAAGTACATTTATAAGGCAATCTGATACATCATAGTTAAAGAGCAAAATAGTCTTCCTAATGCTTTGAAATTCCTGGTGGTTTGAAAAGGAGTGACTTACCTGAAACTCCCCCCCGCCCAGCTCTGCTAGAAAACAAAAGAGAGTATTTACTAGAAAGCAACAATACAAAATAAATTGTATATATATGTAAAAGCCCCACACTGGCCTTTTCCAAATTTGAGAATGTGGCGGCAGAGTTGAGGTAACTCCAGGCTGGTTTCTTAGGCTTGCCGGAGAAGCCCTAGGGCTGTTAAAAGTCTACGGTCATCGAAATGTATTTCGCAGGAAATTTCTCTGAGTTAAATTATACTACACAATTTCCCTCACACTTCATTTAAAGATCATAAATGTAGATGCACCCATGTCGAGGTTTGGCTTGACACCCCTCCCCTGGTTTCCCCCTAAGGTCAGCTGCGCGGACGCCTGGCGGGCCTGCTGGAGAGGCGGCGCTCCTACCCCCGCGAGCAGCCCTCCCCAGGCGCTCAGGTGTTGGCCGCAGTCCGTTGGGCTGGGGTTCCAGGAAGGGCTTGTAGGCAACCGGCCCAGTTTGGGTCGCTCCATAATCGGAAAAGGATTGCGTTGCCTGGCCCAGCCAGCGCAGTTCCCCGAGAAATAAACAGAAATCGCCTTCCTGAGACCGGGAGGTTCCATCTTGGCCTGAAAGTCTCTTTCCAAGTTCATAGGCGGTGGGGGAGTTGTGGGGGGCGGGGGGGGGCGTTGTCAAGGAATATCAGGCAGTGGCACAAAGGCGCTGGTTAGTCACCCGGATCCCCTTGGCTTTGACATGCGGGCCTGCCTACACCTCCCGCTTGATGTACCAGTGCGTTTGTGCCAGAAAATTTTGCACGTTTGCGATGGAGAAGAGTAAAAGATCCTAAAACGAGAAAGGGGGGAGGGAGGGAGGGAGGGAGAGAGAGAGATCCAAGGGGAGTTTTTCGGAGTCGGAACTCTTTCCAAGGCAAAGTGCATCTGAGACTCTGGGCCGAATGCAGTGTCGAGGCGGGAGTGGTGGTGTGCGGGAGCCTGAGAAAACGCAGCTGCTGGGCTCTATGGGAACTCTGCAGTCCACGATTGGGGGGAGCTGGGAGCTGACTCGAGCGTAATACTAAGAGAAGCAATAGAAGTCGCTTAGGGAGGTTACGTGCGCTTGGTGGAATCCGATTCCAGGTCTCTGTCCCGATGCTCGCCCTGCGTCCCCTGATCCACGAGAGTCCACTTAACAGAAACTCTAGCCCTACCTCTCGAACTGATGCAAATTCTCCCTTACTTTGTGCCGTTAGAGTTGGCCTCAATCCATTTTAGAACTCCTAACCTTTCCCAAACCACCTCTGCTGACAGAAGCCCCCTAATGTTTCTCAAAACTCTGCCCTCTCCGACACCCCCCTTTGGTGAGAGGGTTCGGCGTGCAGCTGGCGGGGTGGGTCAGGGTGGGGGTGATGGGAGCGAGGGCCTGGCTGCTTTGGGGAAGTCAGCCTTTTGGCAACCGTCAGGGCGGGAATTCGGACTAGTAGTTTGCATTCCCGGCAGATCGAAGCTCCCTGCTGATCGATTATTTGATAATTGATTTTCCCCACAGCCAATGCGGGGCCGCCTTGGCGGGAGCGCCTCCTGATTGGCCGAGCCCTCCTCCACCGCTGCCTACCGAGATTTGGGTGAGCTCATTTTCCAGTCGACCGCAGGGGGAGTTTTCTGCGAGGTTCCAGCTGGAGAGAGAAGGGAAAATCTTGCTCCGAGCCGAGCGAGCTGCGAGCCCTGCTTTGGGGATGTGAGGTTTCCAGCCCCGCAGGTCGAGCTACTGCGGCTGAGCCATCTCGGCAGATCAGAGTCGGGAGGGCTGAAAAATAAAAACAAAGATAACACCACAAAAAATAATAATAAAAGACAAGCTCAGACTGGGAGAATAAAGAGAAGAATTTTTTGTTTGTTTGTTTGTTTAGGCCAGAGAATAGGTATTTAAAGGGAGAAAGTTAAAATCAGTGGCTGACTGGAGCCTCGGAGTTGTGGGTAGGGGCAGCTTTTTGTCTGAAACCTCAGATTCCGAAGTGCATGTCTTACGCACTGGGACTTTTCTCTGAGCCGGGTGGCGGACAGGAAAGCGGATTGGGGTGCGGAGGAGAAAGGTTGAGGAGGAGAGCGTGGGGCGTCGCCAGGGAAAAGCTGAGGGCGCCGGGTCCCATCAGGCCCGCGCACGGTCACGGCCGGAGCCCCTCGGCGCCTCGAAGACAAAGGCGGCGCGCCCGTAGCCCAAGCCGAACACTCGGGCCCTGCCGCGCCCTGGGCGCACGGCCGCTTCCTCGGAGAGGATCGGGAAAAGAGCCTCCCTCCCTGAAGCTCCTCGGCCCGGGCTCCGCCCGCGAGGTCTGGGCTGCAGCGAGCCCGCGTCGGGTTTCGCTTTCCGGCGATCATAAATAGCTGCGTGTTTGTAAACAGGCGCTGGGGGCACATTCCCGGCTCTCAGCTCATTGTTTCCTCCCTTCCTCTCTCACTTCGCGCAGGACCCCGGGGCCGGGGGTCTCCGGGGCTAGGAGGTGTGGCCGCCCAGACCCTCAAAGTGAGGAAATGCAAGCATTCCCTCTCTTCGGACGGGGTGTCTACCTCTGACAGCAAAGACAAAAAATTAAAACAAAAACCCCCAAAGCCCTCTGAGCCGGATCTGCAGCAAGCCCCGGCCATCTCCGCCCCACGTCCTCGGCACTCCTCGGCAGAGCGTTCCCCAGCCTTGCTCCTGCTCCTCCTCCCCGCTCTCCTTTTGACTTTCCGACCTGGAGTCTTTAGTTCTAAGAACCCGATACTTTCCTCATCACCCCCTTCCGCCCTGAAAAATACTGGCAGACCCCAATAATTTCGAGGAAAGTCGTGAAGTCTGTGCACCGAGCCCTGTGCAAAATAACTCCCGCGGCTGCCTGCCCGCGCGTATTCCCGATTTATTTCAAGCGTCAGCTTTGGGAAGAGAGTCTGGAGGGGGAGGGAGAGCGAAGAGCTCGGAGAAGAACGCCCGCGGCCGGGGCCCGCCGGCGGCGACGGCGCGCGAGTGCCCGGGGCGCGCGGGGCCCGCGCCCGGGCGCTCGGGGGCAGGCAGCGCCGCGCCGGCCCGGCGGGCGGCCGGCGCCCGCGCCGCGCGCCCACCCCCGCCGCGCGGCCGACTTGCTGCAGCCCGCTGCATTGTGTAAGACGCGACCTGTTATGGCCACCACTACTTCCGGGTTCTAGCATTCTGGTCGGAATCCACCTCTCCGCCTGTGCAACACACACTTTACACACGCGCGGGGACTGCGAGCGGGCAGCATCGATTGTGGCTCCTTTAAGACAAACTCAGACAGACATTTTTTTTAGCCCTCCTCCTCTAATCTCCTTCCAGTGCAGCAGTTGCAAAGAGGGAGAGAGAGAGAGAGAGAGAGAGAAAGAGAAAGAGCGAGCGAGCGAGAGGAGAGAGAAACTGATTAGGAATTAGGACCGATTCAAGAGGAGCGAGCGCTAGGGCTTTGTGCATTTGAATATTAACATTTGAGGTGTTCTGACCAGAAGAAGACAGAGCGGATGATCATTCATTCACCACGTTGACAACCTCGCCTGTGATTGACAGCCGGAGTGGCAGAAAGCCATGAGATTTGGTAGTTGGGTCTGAGGGGCGCTCTTTTTTTTTTTTTTTAAACTGATTTTTTGGGGAGAGAAGATCTGCTTTTTTTTTTTTTTTTTCCTTGCCCCCGCTGCTGTCTTGGAAACGGAGCGCTTTTATGCTCAGTGACTCGGGAGCTTTGCTTCAGGTCCCGTAGACCGAAGATCTGGGACTAAGTAGCTCACGTTGCTGGAGACGTTAAGGGATTTTTCGTCCTGCTTTAAAACATTTTTTTCCGGGGGAGCTTGCGTATTTGTTTTCTTTCACACTGGCCTTACAGAGGATATATTAGAAGTTGAAGTAGGAAGGGAGCCAGGGAGGCCGATGGCGCAAAGGGTACGTATTAAAAAACAATTGTGGAACTCAAATGTGAGATTAAATTGAAACGTAGCTGAAAGACGCTGCTAAAAAGTTTTCTTTTTTTTTTCTCTGTCTTTTTGAATGAGGCTCCTATAGCCGTGGCCTAAAGCGAGAGTATTTATTCAATGCATTTGTGGACTTATGTATGTTACATGTTAATTCGAGTAATCAAGTTTTCTACCAATTCCTAACCAGCAGCTGTATAAATGAAAATACAAGCTCAGGCAATCATGTGGTTAAAAATTTAAAAAAAAAGAAAAGAAAAAAGAAAACTCTAGATACCTAATGGTATAATGTAAGCCGTTCAGAGAACAGAAGTTTAGAGCTATTTATAAACTAAAATGAACAGCTAGAAACTTCTGATGTTATTGATTATGTTCATCTTTAATATCATTAGGAGTATTTACATTTTTCAAGCAAATAAGTTTGTCATAATACAGCGGTTTTTGGGGGGTTGGAAAACAATCATTTAAAATTTTAATGTGCATGGATTTTTATGCAAGGTAATACTTAGAAAGTTTATCTTAGACAAGCCCTGCACTAATTGGATACTAAGCACACAGCTACTGACTTTTAAAATGCAATACTAATTTCCCCAATATTCCCATTTGAATGGAAATGTAGTGAGAGTAAAGTGAGACAATGACAATCCAACTGAGGTAGTTTCTTAAAAGAAAGGGACATCTACAAAAAGCCTTCCTTGCATAATTTGTGTCCTGGCCCTCAAAGCCCTGTTTGCAAAAGAAAGTTACCAGGCTGACACATTTTTCTTTGCTCCTTTGGTTCCAGCAAATGTCAGCGTTCTTCCAAACTCTTTTCACACCTCTGGCTCTAAGGGGATGAAAGTGGCAAGTCCTCTTTTCTTTGAAAATCATTTCACTGTTGATGCCTGCAAATCTTGAGGGGGGAAAAGCTTGCCTGGAGGGAACCCATGAGAGAAATTTAAATAGCTAAAATTTACAAACAAAAAATAATGACAATCAATATGAAAGTAGTTTTTCTAGAAGAGAAAGATGGGAGTTTGTATGTGCATTTGCTTTTGAATTTGTTTTAAACCTGATGGGCAGCATTTGCCTCCTTGACTTCTAGTCTGGGGAGAAAGTTCCTAGGAGTAGAGAAAATAGAGTAACTAACCGGTCCAGCTATAGATTTTCCTTATCATTGGGGTGGAAATTGCCCAATTCTAAATTCAGCTGTAATGTACAAGAAAAGCCACCCTTCGCTGAGTTTCACTTATAAGAGGGCCAGTTAATTTTTGTATCATTTAGCAGAGTTTGTCTTGGAAAGCAGAAGAAATGCAGTGTCTCGCAGGACTGCCTAACCTCTTGCTAGCAGGGGAATAAAATAAGAAGCCTGTCTGAATTCACGTGCTTGGCAAAGCAGTTCCCAACGTAACTTTAAAAAAATTCCCCCTGGTGAGAAGGGGCTGTGAAACTAGGTGGGTTTGCCACACTGTCCTGGCACGTTTTATTATTGTGATTTTGAATTTCCTCCCATACAGACATGCACATTTTACCTTCTGCCCTCGGGGAGAATGCTTCCCTTTCTTTCCTTCCTTTCTTGTTAGAGGATTCTGAATTTCTGAAGTAGTTGATAGGGACACAAGTTAGGGCAAGACTATTCATCCTAGCTGGGACTCACCAAGAATTCTAAAATTTTTACTTAAAAAATTATTTTAGTGAAAAATCTTAACTTCCGAGATGCAAGGCCACTGGATTCCAGGTTGAAGGATCCAGCTGGTCTGACATTATATAAGCTCCGCGCCCTGCCTTCCCCCATTTGCCCGTCTGGCCTTCTGAACCTTGTTTCTCTCCTGTTTGTCATGCAGTACGACGATCTACCCCATTACGGGGGTATGGACGGAGTAGGCATCCCCTCCACGATGTATGGGGACCCGCATGCGGCCAGATCCATGCAGCCGGTTCACCACCTGAACCATGGGCCTCCTCTGCACTCGCATCAGTACCCGCACACAGCTCACACCAACGCCATGGCCCCCAGCATGGGTTCCTCTGTCAATGACGCTTTAAAGAGAGATAAAGATGCCATTTATGGGTAGGTACAGTGAGCAGCAGGTTAAATAGCTGAGAAGCCGTGCTTCCCCTGTTTCCCTTTGCCCTCGGTAAGGGGAAAGCCAGAGCTCTCCGGACTGGAGGTACGTTACTTGGTGACTTTTCATTCGTATTGCAGGGAGGATCTGGGGAGGCTACCTGCCATTCCGGACGCTCCCCTCTGCACACACACTCCGCGTCCGCCCGGCAGCGGCTGGTTCGGCCGAGGCCGAGGCCAGGAAGGGGTCCCGGTGCAGGAGAAGTTGCCCCAGGTCCCTTGTCCTCTCTCAGCGGGTCGGAGCCCTGGCTCTCTCCACCGCCCTGGGAAAGCGTTTAGGGGTTTCTAATTGTAGACTCCTTTGTGCTGGAACGAAACTTTTAGTTTAAGGGAAAATCTTTTAAGCCACTGATTGTTCTGACTTGCTAAGTTTACTCGGTCACCGTACGCTGGTTCTGCCACCGCACAATAAAACCCAGGGAGGGACAGTGGCAGGTCAGGCAAGGGAAACAAGCTTTGCATGTATGAAGTCTGACCACTGTAGTCAAGGAGAGGAGCTCCATGTGAATTGTTACAGACGTTAAGAAACTTGTCGTCGTTTTCGTGCTTTGTGATCAAAGGCTAAACCTGAGGGATTTGGAAGTGGGTGCCGGATGCTGTGGACTGTGTTGTTTTCTGGCTGCGGTTCACCCCGTGTTTCTCCGGCCTTTCTGTTAGACGCCGGACTGGTAAAATCCTTTGAAAGTCCCTTGCGCCTACTGTGTCGATGAATTTGGTGACCTATTTTGACTTTGCAGCAACTTTTATTTCTTTTTTTTGAAAAAAAATCGCGCAGCACTGACCCTCCCCAGCAGCACGCCCTTTCTGCTATTTTTCTGGTCCCTCGTGCGATAGGTTGGTTTGTTTAAATCCCAGCGTTCTCTCCGCAGCGTTAACTGCAAATGGTTTAGGCTCTGGGGCAGAACATTTGGGGAAGCTTTGAAAAAGACCCCAAACTGTTAAATTCCCAGCTGGGCTGTGAGAGCTAAAAGAGCTAATAAAAGACTTGAGACATCTCCTTGGCCATTAGAAGAAGCCTTTTTTTCCTTCTTCTTTTACGGGCTGAGATAAGCGACATCTAGGCCCCTCGCAGTACTAGCTGCCTTCCCAGTCCGCAGGGACAAAATAAAAGGCTTTCCTGCAGGACCATGGGAAGGAACTTTCTTTGGGGGGTGGTGGGGGCCATGGCCCAGGGAAGGGACTGGGTGCAGGGAGAGGAGGAGGCGCCTCCTTGCTCTCGAAGGGCCGAGGGGGGGGGGTCGGTAGGTGCGGCCCCCTCTCAGCCGGTCCCTCCGCCTCAGAGGTCCTTTCCCCAAGTTAGCTGAGCGCCTGTCACCGAGATCCCCGGCCCGGGCTTCGCGAGGCCGCGAGGAAGCCACGCGAAGGAGCTGCCCCGGCCCCTGTCCCCAGCGCCTTTCTGCCGCCCCGGGTGCTGGACGTGCCGCAGAGGGACAAGGGCTTGTCGGGTGGGAAACTTCATTCAAAATGGCTGCTGGAACCGCTTGGGTTTTATTCTTAGCAAATGTTACCAATTTCTCCGGCCAGATAAACTGCACCGATCCTCAGACACGGTCCGTGGCTTAGGACCTCCAATTTCGGGGCCCTAGGAGGCGGGGGAGGCGAGCGGTCCCCTGGGTGGGGGGAGGGAAGCAGTAGATGACAAAATCAGGGAGGGGGTCCATGCCTCCAGCTCTTCTGGCTGCTTTTCTGGGGCACTCCCCCCCTGACTTGGGACTAACCACTGTGTTGTTTGTGACTGTTGTATTTTCTTGCAGACACCCCCTCTTCCCTCTCTTAGCACTGATTTTTGAGAAATGTGAATTAGCTACTTGTACCCCCCGCGAGCCGGGGGTGGCGGGCGGGGACGTCTGCTCGTCAGAGTCATTCAATGAAGATATAGCCGTGTTCGCCAAACAGGTCAGCAAAATAAATGTTTGAAAAGTAAAAGAAAAAAAAAAAAAAGGGACCTCCCTCCCCCCACCCAGCATATTTGCAAGTGTAAGCAGCAAACAGGCCACCCTGAGCCATGCCTGTTAGAGCCACCCTGAGACTTTCCTCCCGTGTAGCGCCTGCGGGTGACGCAAAATCGCCCCTATTCGCCCCAACTCAAACTGCTTGACCCCATGCGGAAAGCTGCCTTTATAAAATAAACCCACCACCACCACGCGCTGGGGCTGCCTGCGCCGTGGCGAGCCGCACAGCCTGCTGTAGAAGCCTGGCTGCTGGTGGAAGTCACCCTGAGCTCCGGGCGCGCTTTCGGCTCGGTTCCCGGCGACGCGGTTCTGCGCGGGTTGGACCCGGTGTCCCCGGGTCCCTCCCGGAGGTGCCATCCTGGCCCCGACAGTGTGATAAGGCAAGAAACTAGGAAGGCGACCAGATTGCAAATGTTTCTTTCTCTCCCCCCACCCCTTCTCACTTGTGTTTAGATTCGAGCAGAAAAACCTCTATTTTCTTCTAATCCAGAACTGGATAACTTGGTAAGAGCTGACCCCTTGCTCCCCTCCCCACTGATCCCCCTCCTTGCTTTGAGAACCCCGAGGTCTCTAGACGGGTCTTCCCGCCGCTGCAGGTCGGCTGCAAATGTTCCGGTGCACGGACAAGTGGTCCGGGACAAGGTCCCCGGGAAATAAATTTATCTAGAGAGGGGCCGGGCGGGCGAGCGGCGCGGAGAAACGCGAGCTTTGTTTTTTATGACAGCCGGGCAGTGCAGCTCTAATCAGCGCGGGGATTTATCTCCGGGCCTGTCAGCGTGTGTGCTTAAACTTTTCGGGCTTCCCAGCCCTCCAAGTCGCGTCACGAGGGCAGCGACCGGGCAGGAGCCCCCGGATCACCGGCTTGCCCGAAAGATGTGCGGAGGGCAGCAGGAAGTGTGCAGTGCCGAGAGCCACAATTTGGGGACTATTCGGGCTACTTTCCCTGCACACCTTCCCAGGAAGCATCTAGTTCAGGGATGTGGCCCCTTAAGGGTGGGGTGGGGGCATTTGGGCTGAGAAAGGGGACAGCCTCACGGGGGAGGAGAGTGTTTATGACCCCCACTTAGATACTTTGCTGTTGTTTTAGCTATTTTTTTTCTCCTTAAGAAATATAAACCTCTAGATGCTACCCAGTCGCTGCTATTAAGTTTTAGTGTTATTGCCATAAATCAAAATAACTCTATTTACTGGGGGGTGGGGGTGGGCTGGAGATGCTAGAAGTGTAAGAGACAGTTTTCTGCAAACTAGGAATGGGGTGCTCATTCTTTTTGTGTCTTTGCAGATGATTCAAGCCATACAAGTATTAAGGTTTCATCTGTTGGAATTAGAGAAGGTAATTTCTCTAGCCTCTTTTTCTTTTGCATCCGCACCCCCAAACACACAGGGTGGGGGGAGGGTCCAGAATGGCTGAAGTTCAGGCTTCTGAAACATTTGCATAAATGTCTTTCTTTCTGGTAATTAGTGTCAAGGCCAATCTTAGCGTCCATTTCTCTTTGCAGTTTAATTACAATTTCAGCCACTAAAACCGGGATCACAAACGCCCTAGCATTGTATTCATTCTTAATACCTTTCTGGCTTTTATAGATAGTTGCAATTCTATGCATCTCCTTGATGTTTAGAATGCGTTTGTGAGTTGCTTCCCAGGTTATACCTTTGTGGCCTCCTCCCTTCCTCTTCCTCCTCTTCTTTGCTACCTCTGAAAGGGGGAAGTTTTGTTTAGTTTCACTGAGTTTCTGGAAGACAGTCTGAGAGCAGCCGCAGGTCAGACACAGAGGAGAGGCGGAGGGGGTGGGGTGGGGGGTGGGGAGGAGGAGCGGACGGGACGGGGAGTCTGGAGGAGGTGGTGGGAGAGACACATTAAACGTTTTGCAGAGACAAAGCAGAGTTGATAGTTGTGTCAATTTCTTGAAACTGCACACACCCCACCTTCACACTCAAGAAAGGGTGTGGGATAACACAATTTTGCTAGCTGTTCTATAAATCTCAGCAATAAAAACTTAATGCATTGTAATTCAAACTAACATGGAATTGCAAGCACACTGGGGTTTCTTGTGAATTTCTGCATGGCACTGATGACTGGGGCCAGGAAGACACCAGTCCACTCACACCGGAGTATTCTGAAGCAACCTCTTTCCCTTAAAAAAAATCTATTTGATACATTTTTGTGGCTCCAGGTGTTTTTTCATATCATGAGTACTGGCAATTTGATTTCCTTTTTTTAAAAAGGAAGTATACTAAAATATGCTTCTTATGGATGCAAACCCTAATTACAAGTATTATAGGGACTTTAATATGTTTTGTCAGACATATATCCTACGTCCCCGCAGTACTGGTCCTTTGAATACGTAGAGTATCTGTACATATACATATCATGTATATTATATATAACATATATATATGCATTTTCCCTAGGCTCGTTGGGAAAAACCTATGATTAAGTCACTGGATGAAATTAAATAGTTTACCTTAAATGTCATCCAGGCAGGTCACCTCTCTAATGGCCACAGCCCTGGAAGCAGATGAATTTAACACGGGTGTTGAATATGTTGTAGCCTGTGAATCATCTTGTCACTGTCAATTTTCTGGGATATCTCTATTTTGCAAGAAAAGAAAGTTATTCCTAATTCTGGTTGCGTCTGGGGGTCTCTGGAGGACAGTTGCCCAATGTTTCCCCTATTTGGAAGTTTGGGTCTCACAAAGGGGGTGGATTGCACTTGTCAGTGTCATTTATGCTCTCCTGATTATATTTCCATTTTTTATTCCCGTCATAATGTAGGTACACGAATTATGTGACAATTTCTGCCACCGGTATATTAGCTGTTTGAAAGGGAAAATGCCCATCGATTTGGTGATAGACGACAGAGAAGGAGGATCAAAATCAGACAGCGAAGATATAACAAGACCAGCAAATCTGACTGACCAGGTATGTGCTTTTCAATTTCAAAGTCCGTGGGAAAAAAAAAATCTGTATGCATATTGCTTGCTGGGTCACTACCAACTCCTTTTATTATTTGCATATGATTAAGTCCCTTTTAGATACATTTCCATCGAAATGAAAAATTTTGAATAATGTGGCTATTATTGCTTCATTAAGGCTGGCTCTGGGATTCGACCTGGAGAGATGAGCTTGTAAAAGCTTTGCCTGCAAACTTGACCTGTTTCTTGTCGCTTTTAATTTTTGTCTTTATTTTATTTACCCTCTATAATAATGTGCGTGTTAACTGCCAGTGACCGCCTCTGATTGTAGGGCTTTGTTCTGAAGCATTCCCCCCCCTTCTATCTTGAAGAAAAGAAAAGTGTAGGGTCTGCTTATTTTTTTTATTTTATTAGGCATAAACCCAAGATAGGTGGTCTAAGGAAGACAGCGAGGGTTTGAAATCTAGCAAATGCTGGCTATTTTCTCCCTGTCTATACGGTTCATTAGCCTGGCTTGTCAGTTTTCCTCGGCCCAGCGCTTCTAGACCTCACTGAACATTGCTTTGTGCAGTGCTCGCTGCAAGCTCGCCCATTTCATTGTACTTCATAGAAAAAATAAGACCAGGCCAAGGGTATAAAAACAGATAAATATGGACTTTTCCTCCTTTCCACTCATCCTCCATCTGGTACGTGCTCTGGGCCCCCTGGGTGGGCAGCTTTTGGAGACGTCAGCATCAGGACAGCTCGGGAGGCTCCCTTGGTGTGGCGGGTGGGGGACCTCGCGCCACCTTGACTCTCAGCTGCCCAGTTTCGCTTGCTTCGCCCCTTCCTGTCCAGTCCTCCCTCCAGGCCCTGCTTTCGCTGCGTTGCTGGATGCGGACCACTTTTATTTGGACTTGCTGCGCGGGGAGGAGGGGGGCGGATTTCTCTCCCTCTTTCACTCCAACATCACTGCTGGCTCCCAGTGCCTCTCTCGGTCCAGTTGCTATGTCTCCGGATTGGTCCAAAGGAGTTGCAAAAATAGCATGAAAGTGAAAACGTGAGGAGTGGATGGGATAAAACAGGGCTCACGACAGCTCTCCGTTGCGAATTGTTGCAATGCGTCTGGAGATTTGGGTTGCGGGGGCCTCCTCCGTGTCTCCATATGTAAGGGAAGGCCCAGAGTTGTTTCTCTTTTTGACTTGGCACGTGAGTCCTGTCTTGGGGGAGAGATCAGCCTGCCTTTGTTAAGCCAAAGGACCGCCAGTCATGCAGCTTTCCTTACAAATTCTGCCAGGAGCACTGCTGACCAGCGGCTATTTTGCAGGGTCCTCGCCCGAGTGCCCGACTCCACAGTCTTGGTGTCACCTCAAAGTTTTCTTCTCTCAACATCACCCCCTTAAAATAAATCCCTAGCTGGGGTTTCTCTGGGGAACTCCGCGACGGAGGCTGCACACACACTCCTTTCCCCAGGAGGTGTGGAGAGCAGGCGGGGCTGAGCTTTAAAAGCGCCTAGGCGCCGGCCCTTACTATTTTTTGGCAAGTTGCAAACTTTCGGCAGTGTAGACCAGTGCACAGGAGAGCCAGCCTGCGCAGCCCCGGCGCGGCCCAGAGGAGGTGGGAAACCTGCCGGCGGCTGCCGGCTGGGCCTGTCCCGAACCTCTCGGACTGCCCGGCCCACCAGCCCTCGCCCCTGGGCGAGGTTCCGCCGAGGAACCCTCGTATAGCTGCTGTTGAATAAAAATTGTAATCCAACAAGCCTAACTAGAAAATGGGATTCTAAAAGCTTCATAGTGCTGGGTACATAAAGCTATTTGAGCAAATTACAAGAATAGCTTAGGGGCATGAATGAAATCAACACTTTAATTGCCTCCAAAATGAAGATTTATACCCCATTTTCTCAACGAATCATTATTTTATTAAAGTCAAAGATAAAGGACCAAAGTTATGGGGTGTTTTGGGGAGATCCAAAATTGCTATAACATCACTGAATTTCCTCCCCAACTCCTTCGGTAAATTTTTGTTACCCAGTTACTTTAAACGGAGATATGCAGATTGGTAGGTACTTCTGTTGAGTGAAAATGCGCATTTTATTCTCCTCCCCCGCCCCCACCTATAAAAGGAGAAGCGTGCCTCCCGCCCCCACCGCCAGTAAGGGGGCTTCGCAGCTTTGGAGGAGCTGGTGGCGCTGTTGGCTTGTGTGCGTAGGCACGGTCGCAAGACCCCTAGGGCTCACCTGCGTCCCAGTTGGTCGGAGGGCAGCAAACCCAAGTTTGTTGTTTCTAACTGACCGCTTCCCGGGAGCCAGGAAAGAGTGTAACCGGGCTCCCTTTGGAGCAAGGAGCGCAGAGCACCGGGCGCACGAGGGACTGTGCCTCGCAAGCAGAGTGGAGTCCCCTGTTCTGGGAGGTGGGGAGCGAGAGACAAGGCACATAGGCCGCCAGGTGGGCGCCAGTTTCCCCACTGGAGCATGCTCACCGGTGCCGGGCCACTGGACCCCTAGCGCGGAGCCCTTGGGGCCAGGCCCAGGAAGGACTGCCTCGCCACCTGTCTGCAAATGTGGCCCAGCCAGTTTGAGCGCGCCGGGACTAGATGCTTCAGGTGTGGCGCGAGCGCTGGGACTCGTTAGCTCATTAACCCCTCTGTCTCTAGGGCCTGCTGGCGGCATGGTTTATTTTATTTTACTTTTTTTCCCGGAGGGCGTGAAGGCTGCCACCCGCGCAGGGACTTGGGATGGACGACTTTGATACAAGTCGGTTTCCCGGAGGGCTCTGTCGGTGGAAATCCACTTGGCCTTGTAGTGTTGTTGGTTTTTTTGTATTATTATCATCATCATCATCATCATCATTATCATCAGATTAAGTCTTCGGTAGAAACTGTGATCCCGTGCCCCCTCCCGTCCCACCCCTCATTTCCACCCCCAGACCCTGAAGACCAACGCCGGCACAGCCCTCCCGGGCGCCCTCTCCCGACGGTCACGCTCGCGGCCTCTGCACCGGCTCTCCTGAAGCCAGAGGACTGGGATCTTGAAGGTTTTAGGTCTCGGCATGGTGTGAGAGCCGGGATGCGACTGGGCAGTGGGTGTAGGTGGGGACCCGGGCGGGAGGCATCGAGGCTAGGGCTGAGCCTGGCTGGTGATGGAGAAGGACGCAGGTCCGAAGGGAGGAGGGGCGCGCGTTCCGGAGGTCGCGGTGAAACTGGGGCGCCCAAAGGGGTGAGGTAGGGAAGAGCCTGGACGCTCAGCGGATAGACTCCAGGCCACACTTCAAGGAGTCGTCGAGTGAAGGCTTCCTCTCCGGGGTTCTCTGTTGCTTGCCACTCCTTGAATCTAAGCATTTTCTACTCTGAGACTGGGTCGAGAGAGAGCGGGGAGAGACGCGAAGGGTCTCCAGACCCCCAAGGCCGCTTTCTGGGTGGCCACGCCTTCGCGTAGCGAGCTGCGAACTAGCGGGGCCTGTGCTTCGGCGCCAGCCCGGGTTCTCCTACCAGCAGCGGAAGGCAAAGAAATGGCCCCCTTGGATTACAGTTTTTATTCCACAGCAGCTCTCCGGGGGGTCCTCGGCGGAATCTGCATTTAACAGCTCCAGGGCGAGGGCTGCCAGGCTGCGCCGGGCACCCTGTTGCACGTTAATCCAGATTTGTCACTGACTTCTAGGGAGAAGTAATGTGGCTCCCAGAGTAATGTGGAACCAGAGAGCCTCGCTGGCCAGGCGGGTTAAGTGCCAAGTGCTGGTGAGCTCCCGCGGGAGCGGGGACGGCTTCCAGGCCGGTGAGGCCCGGGCTGCAGAGGCCGGCCCTGCGGGCCGCGGGGATCCGGGGCAGCCCTGGGCCAGTGAGCTTTGCTTCCCCACAGGGCCAGGGAACCCTGGTGGCGATTGTTTCACTTTAAAATTCTGGAATGTTGTTTCCGAAGCATAGTTTAAAATAAAAATTCTTTAAACTGAACTTGTACTTGACTGAAAAATACCGCCTCCCTTCAAAGTGGGATGGGGGTGAATCTAAGGGAGAGTTAAGCTTTCTTTTTCGGAGAGGTGTTTATGGATAGGGGTGGGGATGGGAGGGCGAGGGGCAGACTAATGTCCTTGATGAACTGGATCTGCTGTTTTAGAGAAAAGAAATAGGTGAGGCCATCAGATATTTGCTAATACTAGAAACACAGGCGATTTGGATTGTCATCCAAATAAGAAGCTGGACACATATCAAGAAAATGATCCCATTGCCAGGCAGTTTGTTTCTAAATGCTTGCACGGGGATACATCTTATTTAAGTTGTAAATACTGCATAGGGTCCCACTTAACACCTTAATCCTGGGTCCTCTGGGTGCACAGGCCTTGTGAGCGGTGAGGTCTCAGAATGATCTGCCTTTTCCTTTTGATCGTTGTTGTGGGTCATGTGGTTCACTCTTAATTTCTTTTTTGAAATATGTCAAAGGGGAAATTATGGCAAGGTTCTCTTTAATGATTAAATAATAAGGTGTTGACTGCTTGTCACTGCATTGCCTAATTGGGATGTTCATTCTAGGCCCTTTGTAGCTTAGAATCCTTTGAATTAGAAGTTAGTTGTGTACCAGGTGTGTTTTATGATTACTTTCTGATTGGCTTGTAGGGTGTCTTTATGTGTGAATTTCAGAGTAGGGGGTGTATTGATTCTTAATAGGGGCTCTTGAAAAAAGTTTCTAGAAAAAAAGTACAGAGTGTGTGCTGAGATAGGTCAAGGTCCATCACATTGTTAAATGTCTCAAAGTCTAAATGTTAGTACTACAAAAGGATTCGCTTTTCAGAGTCTCTCTTGCTCTCTCAGTCCCCAGTGCAAATTCCATGGTTAATGGAAAACAATGATACTAATGCTACTTTGTCCAGAGTAAAGCCCCGTAACTGTAACTGTTGTTCAGTGACTTAACTAGCTCTGTGGCAGTGGGTCCCTCGCAGCAGCCCTTCCCTCGCCAGAACGACTCTTGGTGCTTACGATTTGGAAATACAGAGAGTGGTTGTGTGTACTATTGCTATCAATCCTGACTTAGAGAATTTT